GGGCCTAACACAAGTTGTGTTATTATAGAAACCTTTTTAAGGTAAAATACAGTTACCACTTTCAGCATGGGATGCATGGAATCCACTCCACCATGGTTCCCTGGGCAACACAACCTGCAGGAGCAATGGAGGGGAGAGTGGAGCAGGGACACTGCGGCCAGGCGCTGTTGTACTCCCTGAGGACTGAGAACTTGATGGTACCCTGCAGCTGATGAGCCACGCAGCAGCTGTCAAACGGGACATGGAAGAGATGCCCATTGCTGAGCCAGTGGCGAAATCACTCCCCTTGGGTGAACCTCACTCATTATAATCCTAACACACTCCTACATCCCAAAGTTCCCACCTCCATGGAACAACCCCTCCTCACCCAGCGCTTTGTATTTTGTATTGGCTCTGTCTTTAAATGAGAAATGAGAGAATTTTACACCAATAACATCATAAAATAGTAATGTGTGACCAGAGTCACTCAAGCTCCACCTGCAAGGAAAGAACAGCATAAAAGCGAATGAGAGAGGGGGGAGATAGGGAAGACTTCACAGTAACTTCTGGGATCAGTCAATGGGTTGAACCCATCTTCTCCCCCACAGGGACACCCACTGCATAAGAACTTTATCTCGTGAGCGCTCAATAACTAACTCATGCCTCTGTTGCTGCGTATCACTTCAAGCTTGTTTTTGCAGGTTATCACCAGCAATCAGGACCCTGAATTTGTCACCGTTTTATATTAATAGCATTATGCCATAAACTGTCCGTGTTGGTCCTTTGTGGGTGCCAGCAACAGCTGCCAGTGGGTTACATAAAGTGGACACAGCCACTGAGGGGTCCCCTGATGCTGTTGGCATGTTTCCCTGAGCCAGTGAGTGGAATTGCCCTCTGATCCGGCAGGACTGCTCACTGAAGGGTCCCTATAATGGGATGCTGACAGACTGCATGGGCAGAAAGGTCTCAGCTTTCCTGGGGTGCTGACAGACAGAACAAACACGAGCAGTGGAGAAAACCTGCCCCCTTTTCACGTGACACAAGGGACAAAAAGAACATGGGTTAAAATAATTAATACAAATAATCAAATCCAGTTCTACCAAATCACACCAAGTTCAAGGCAAAAAGACTGTGTGTAAGGGAATGACCAGCTTGGGGCTGATGCTGCTTCCCTCCCTGCTGTAGGGAATTAGGAAGCCCCAAGCCCAGCCAAAGTCTCACATCTGGAGAAGGCATAGACCTACCAGGCATTAAACCTCTTTGCCAGGACGTGGTATGGCCGAAGGCAGTCATGGCCAAGACCTGTCTGGTGGACCTCAGCATGACAGTGCCACATGCCCCCAGCGAGGACATGGCACAAGCCAGAGCTGCTTGGTGGTGGTGAAGGGGCTGAAATGTCATCTTAAATTGAGACCTGTTGTGATCACAGAGGGATTGAGTTTATGAGAGCCCATCAGCACTGAGTGGGAGACAAAGAGCAGCAACCTTTGGGAAGTGCACGTATGGAGAATCCAACCAAAAGGACCCAACCTGTCAGTCTCCCAGATGGGACAAGGCTGGGTCAGACACTGCAACCAAGGAGTACCCAGGTCAGATGGTTGCAGCCATTAAACGGTATTTGGCATACTTTTCCCCCATAATGTATGTATGTATGTTAAGAGGACATAGGAAAAGCATGGACCCTGCTACCAGCGCCTGGCAAGTTTGGCATCGGATCAGGAGGATCCCTTTACCAGGTAGCACTGAGCCAGGCTCCTCGGCTCTATGCACAATTTTACCTCACTGCAAAATTACCACTGCTCACTCTCCTTCCAGCAAGTCATGGGATGGCAGAGGCTAGCGAGATGGATTCCAGGGGAAGAAAAAGCAGAAGCAGTATGTCAGGGCTCTGATCACATCTGTACGAGACGTGATTGTTCCTCCTTGCCAGGTGAGTGCACAGACATTAATGCTCATGAAACGGTATTTGACCAACCCTCATTTTTTGGCTGGATCCCTGCCTGTTTCTCTGCCTGAGCAGCCTCAGGTTTCCTGCTGCTGTTGTGGCCAGCACTGGGCAGGATCTGTGTGCAGCCGGGGTCTCTAATGCACTGCAGTGGAGCCGAGTCACTTCCCATGCAGCTGGCTCAGCCTCCTCTCTGCCATCCCTGGCTGGTTCATTAGCATCCAACTGTTCAAAGGGATGGAAATTACATTATATTTAGGTCACAAACGTATTTTAAGCAAAAATACCTGTTATATTTAAAGCACCTTGTTCAGAGACTCTGTCTGCTGCTTCCAGGATGGCTGCACAAATACTCGCTGTCCTTAATACGTTATTTAATGATACAGCAGGCGCTTCCAAAATCTGATTTTTGTTTAAATATAAATTAGGTTCATTCACTCAATTGAATTAATGCTGGTAAATAAGAAACCACTTTCTGGCAGCTCATTTAGCTATCCCAAACAGGCAAAAGCCCAGAATACCACAGTGACAGGGTTGTAGTCTGGGACAACTCTGCTCTCTGCTCTGCTCCCTGCAGGCAGGCAGCTTTCCAGGAGCACCAGCAGTCAGGTATCGCTCCCCACGCCTTGGGCTGCAGCTCCTTGTAGGCAGTGACCTCTCCACAGCTCTCCGTGCAATCACATCTTGAACAGCTCAAGCATCTGGCTGTGCCTCCTACCAGGACTGTGTGAGTGACAATCTCCTTGCACTTCATTGTATTGATCATTCTTCTGGAAGCAGCTCAGAAAGCGGAAGCTGCTCTTCAGCCCCAGCTCCTGTGCTCCTGAAGAAGAGGCTGTGTTGACTCACAGTCAATATATTTGAAACTAGAGTGTATTGTGATGCTCAAGCATCTTATGCTTAGATCGACTCCCAAAACCTCCTGTAAACAAGCCAGGGACGTGGTTAGCTTTCTGTGATCTTCCAGTTGGGATAAGGTAGTACCAGTCCTAGAATAGCCCAGAATAACTTCTTAAAGCACTGCACGACACATCCCTTCTCCAAGGGACTGTGCCCACAGCCTCCCTCATTTATATTGACACGTACCAGAACAGAGCATCAGGGCTGCTGCTGCTGCTTCTCCTCTGCAACCCCGCCAGGAGAGCACAGCCCACCGGCTTGCCCTGCTGCTGTCATGTCCTTCCATCAGCCCATAAACTTCCCATGTCCACGAAGGCTTCATCTTGCATCTTGATTCCTGAGGCAATTTTTCTCTCTCCTCCTGTGGGGACACAGTGGGAGACAGAGACTGGAGCGCAGGAGGCTGCTCTTCCCCCCTCCAGCCCTGCAACGTGTCCCCAGCATGCGCTGGCACTGCAGGCATCACCGAGGCAGGGCTCTTTAGATGTCTCAGGAAGGAGGTGATGACGTTTTCCTGCCCTTCCTCCAGGGAATCTTCAAATCCCTCAACTCTCAGAGAGCAACAGTCTGTTTAATGTGTGTGAAAGAGGCAGCAGCACAGGAAGAGCTGGATGGAGGAAACCAGGGTTTGGGAGTTTAGTAGAAAAGATTAAAACACTCCTGTTCTCCAGCATTGACAGTCATCTTCCCATCAACATCAGCTTCACAGATCTGCTCTGGCATGCTATGCTGTGCCAGGGAGGACATCACTGCTGTGGTTTCCCTGACCCACAACAGGAGCAGGGACATAGGCAGCTCTCACCCAGCTGGGAGAAACACCTCCAACCTTTGAGAAGAGAATATGAACAGATTTGTGTTGATTTCCAGCCTCAGTTGCAGTGCCCTGGCCTCAAGGGCACGCATCAGATAAAATGCACTTGAGGCTGAAAGCAGATACAGCGACTGGTTTGAATGGAGTTAGAACATTCACCCAGGAAGGCTTCAGTGCTCAGCCATGCTCCTGGTGTTATTAGGTTAGCCTTAATGCAGCACATGTGGTCCAGCAGCCAGAGGAAATGGCTGGGACCTTCCTTGGAATTGATGGCTTTATCCCTTTGCATTAACACTGATCTGGCATTGCCTGCAGCAGTGGCCACTCTTCCTCTCCTGGCACACGTGCACAGCCCTGCTTTGACTGCAGAAAACAAAGAGGCACTACTGACTGTATGTGCTGCTGTTGATCTAAGCAGTGCTTGTAATGACAGCCCCAACTGGCTGGAACAGAGCAGAACAGCCATCCTTGCTGAGAGCCAGAAGCTTTTAGAGAGGGCAGGAAACGATGACAGCCTCTGCTCATGTACCCTGACCTCCCGAGTCCTCCCTGTGATGGATGAGGGATGGAAGGCATGCCCTATACACCACCACGCTGATTCCCTCACGTGCAGGACGTGCCTCGCTGAATAACAAAATTACAACTGCTGTACAAACCAAACTGAATGTGTTTATTAAGTAAAAACACTACTTCATAGGTGATTATTCTGGATACAGATGCAGTATCAGTGCTCTCGTGGTAAACCCCAGTATTTCTTCACTTCAGCTTCAATAAACCTATAGTTTGATTTTGCAGACTAAAATCTCAGTCTAAGATATTGAGTTACAAGCATGAGTAACTGTACTGTATTCAGGATTAGTTCTCAGTTTCTGTCTTTGTCTCCTTATACATCTGCCTGCTTTTCTCCAGTGTTAACCTTGATTTCAACCAGATTAAACCCAGACAGAATCAGTACAGCACCTTTTTTCTGGTACCTGATCACTGAATCTGACTTACCAGCCCTGCGGTTTGAGATCTAGAAGCGTGACACCAGATCTCAGGTGTCTCTCTACACAAGAGTGCCACTTCAACTATCAATACGATGTCTGTGAGACCTCCACCATGGGCCTTTGCTTCCCTCAAGGAAGGAGAAAAAGAACGGAAGTCCTCACCAAAAAGGGCCTCCCACAGCACCATAATGAAACATCCTTTTTGGAAATGCAGGAGATTCCAGGAGATGGTCAAGGAAGCTCTGGTGAGGAGAAACAATGTGTGGCAGGATTTCAAGTACTCCATCCCTCAAAGGAGAGCCTCAAAGTGATGTTTCCTCTTGAATCAAGTGACTCAAAATGATAAGCAGACAACATTCCCAACATGACAAACTGGTAATGACAAAGGGGAGAAGTTTCTGTTTATTTGTTCCTCTTAAAACAGCTTAAAAGCAAATATGTCCTATTTTAAAAAAGAGGGGATTCAGAGTGTCCAGAAGCTGGAAATAAAACCACGAAGGAGGCATTACATGGTCAGCAGAACACAGAAAGCCGAGGGTATAAAACAAATTTAGTCTCAGTGAATAGTGGATGGGTGCTGCCCATGGGAAGTGGAATAGCACATAACACTGCCTCTGCCCTCTGAAACACAAACCCTGATATCAGTTTGCTTTACTGCAGTACTTGATAGGAAAGCACACCCATACTGAAAAACCATTGTCAATTGGAAGAGAAAAACATTACAAACCTGCTATTGCTCCGTAGGCACTGATTCATGGAGTTCTATGGGGAAAGGGCGTGCCCAAGCAGAATTCGGAATTGCATAATTCCTCTTAAAATGAGATAGCCCTGGTGTGACTGCAAATATAAAGTAGCCAGGCTGTTCCTCTGGCACTGCCTGGCTGCAGACCTGACCACTAGGAACCGCCTGCAACACTGGAGTTTGGACAGGGCTAGGCAGAAGCAACAGGCAGCAATACTGGGAAGTTAAGGTATCTCCTGATAAGCCAGAGTGCTCAGAGAGTTAAAGCCCACAAAGGGCTTCTATCACACTGACAAAGAGTGGCCCTGAGGGGCCTAGGAAGCAAGAAAAGGTTGCTACCTACAGGCCTGCTTAGAAAGAGCCACTCTGGTGGCCAGTGGCTGGTAGGAGCTCAGCTAACAAGCCCTGCCCAAGCTTGCCATTAGCAGATAAGCGCTTCCCTCTCCTCAATCCTCACTGAGCACGGGCAGTATAATTTCATTTATGTCCTCCTCTGCAGAGCACTCTGATCAGACTACAGAGCCCTTTCATCCTCTGTGGACAGGGATCTGGACTTCAATAGGATCTGCAGTAAGAATCAACTCAAAGCAACTGGGGGGAGGCAGCTGCTGGGGCCTCGGAGAAGGTTAAAGCAGTGCCTGTGCAGGGCACCCTGAAGCAGATTTTCATCTTCATCCTCACTTCTGAGACTTGTCCTACCCCACGGTTTGGCACATGCAGCCTTCCTGCTCCCCCACTCTGGTAAGCAAGATACCTGAGATTAGCAGTCCCAAGCGCCAGTGTCCCTGCACACAGGGGAGGAAAGGTGCGCTTCAGTCTTGTGTTTCACTAGGGAGTTTCTGGCTTAAAAAGTCACTTGTTGAAAAACACCATGGCGGGACAGCAGTTAATCAAACATGTCCTCAAACATGCGCTGCCCCATGGCTATGTAAACCTCTTTTTCCTCCGGCGTCATCTGGGCCACCAGCTCAGGGCGCTGGCTCACTTGGCTGTACGAGTGTGGGCGCCCAGCCACCGTCACAGTGGGGTCTTCTGCCACCACCTCGAACTCTTCATCCTCATCCTCATCCTCCAGCCCGTACATTGAGGTGGCCGTTGTGGGAGGGCGGGGAGGGGATTCCTCCTCCGACTCGCTTGTCTCACTCTCGGAGTCACTAGCGTTGGGACCGGAGAGAGGAGCGCCGCCTCCGACAGTGACTGCTGAAGCAGAAGGGGTCTTCTTCTCGTGGATGAGCAGGGCACGCATCACCTCCTCGTTATCATCCAGAGCTGCCCGGCCCTCCTCACGCTCCTGGAAGGCATCCAGATCCCTGCCCCCTGCAAAGAGACACAAAGGAATGATTGTTTCCTCACTGAGATTCTGGGACACGGACCTGAAGGCTTTCTGGACCCGTGTAAATTGCTGCCACTGAGCACACTCGACCAAGTCACACCTTTTTTTTTTATGCCAGTTCCTCTGCTCCTTTAAAAGACAAGAGATAGTTATGGTTTTTTCTCTCATAACAGCAGAGCAAGTATTGACATTTCCTAGGAGCTGGGAGGCCTGGAGTCACTGTGGCTCCCAGCTGGGAGCCTTGGCCAGGAGCACATGGCAAGAGAAAGCAACAAACACATGATAGGCAGGCACCTGGAAAAGACTCCCCCTCCCATTCCTGAGCTGTCAGCTCGGGTGCCCCTCAGCTGGGCTGATGCACTTTCCTTACTGTGGAGTAGAAAGCAATCTTTGGGTTCTAAATCCAGGCTTCCGGATGCCTGTATCATTTGAGCACCTAATGATGATGCTTGCCAGCGATACAACAAGCACCTCAGTGCTGTTTCACAGATGAACAAGCACAAGCTCTTTCTTCTTGTTCCTTTGTTTCTGGGTTGTATGACCAGAGCCTGAAGGACTTGCTGTGATGACCAAAATCACAGGGTGCTGCCAGCAGAGACCATAAATACAGATCCAAACCCAGGCGCTGCCCTGCTGAGCTCCCCATCTCTACGGGTTAAGGTGGAGAAGCTGATGAATCCAGGCAGACACAGGGTACATGGAAACCATGTATTATGAAACAACATTCAAAGAAACCCATGTCTGGTAAGCCACAGGAAAGGAGTGACCACGAATTCCCTTGGCTTTTAGTGCTAAATGAAAGACTTCCTTAGTTCACCTGTTTCACAGCATTTTTTCATTCTGTGTTGAAAGAAACCCATAACCAACGCAGACTGCACCCTACAGCAGAGAAAAGCTTGGGCACCACCTGCACGGAAGTAGTGCTGAAAACCATGGAGGTCCTGCCAAAGAAATGCACCACTAACTTCACTGAACTTGTGTTTTATAGAATCACAGAATGGAAGGGGCCTTAAAGCTCATTCAGTTCCAACCCCTGCCACAGGCAGGGACACCTTCCACTACACCAGGTTGCTCCAAGCCCTGTCCAACCTGGCCTTGGACACTGCCAGGGATGGGGCAGCCACAGCTTCTCTGGGCACCCTGTGCCAGCGCCTCAGCACCCTCACAGGGAAGAACTTCTGCCTACAACATTACCTCAATCCCCCTTCTGTCAGTTTAAAGCCATTCCTCCTTGTCCTGTCACTACATGCCCTTTAAAAAGTCCCTCTCCAGGTTTCTTGTATCCCCTTTAGGCACTGGGAGCTGCTCTAAGGTATCCTCACAGCTTCTCTTCTCCAGGCTGAACAGCCTGTCTTGATAGGGTAGGTGCTGCAGCCCCCTGATCATCTTTGTGGCCTCCTCTGGACTTACTCCAACAGCTCCACATCCCTGTTGTGTTGAGGACACCAGAACTGCACATAGCACTGCAAGTGAGGTCTCATGAGAGCAGAGCAGAGGGGCAGGATCACCTCCTTTGACCTGCTGGTCACTCTCCTTTTGATGCAGCCCAGGATACGGTTAGTTTCTGGGCTGCGAGAGCACACTGAAGCCAGCTCATGTTCATTTTCTCATCGACCAACACCTGCAAGTCCTTCTCTGCCCAGCCTGTAGCTGTGCCTGGGATTGCTCTGACTCAGGTGTAGGACCTTGCACTTGTCATGTTTAAACTCCATGAGGTTGGCACTGGCCACCTCACAAGCGTGTTGAGGTTCCCTCTGGATGGCATTCCTTCCCTCTAGCGTATCAACAGAACCACACAGCTTGGTGTCATCACGAACTTGCTCAGGGTGCATCAATCCCAGTGTTCATGACACCGACAAAGATGTCATACAGGATCAGTCCCAACACTGACCCCCCTGAGGGACACCACTCGTTACCTGTCTCCACTTGGACCTTGAGCTGCTGACCACAACTCTTTGAGTGTGACCATCCAGCCAATTCTTTATCACCAAGTGATCCATCTGTCAAATCCATGCCACTCCAGTTCAGAGACAAGGATGTTTTCATGGTAAATAAAGTTGTAGTAGTAGGTGATGGCTACATCTTCTAGTACTACTGGCAAAATTCTTCATAGGAAGCAAGAATAAAGGTGTTGTGTTGGCAGCTTTGCGCTCAGCTCACTGCTTGTGATTGCAGAGCATAAGAGGCTATTGGACAGCATCTCCATGAAATTATATCAAGGTTCATCACACTGAGAGCTGTTAAGTGACAACAGCCTGAGGTAGCTCCACAGAGTCTGATTTCGTGACTCAGGAGTGGGGCTGTCTCTTGCAAGGACTGTTCCTTCCAGATCCAAGCATTGAATCTTGTCTGTCAGTGGTCCCAAGTTTCCGTTCTCCCTGTTTATGTCATCCAAGAGTTGTAGAAATGTGTTGCAGCAGCAATTTCAGGCTATTTCCAAAAGTGCCTTCTTCATTCTTCAGTAGTGGTGGAGGTTAAGCAGTGATGCCACCATGCTGAAAGAAGATATGCTCCCCCCTCCATGTCACTCAGTGGTATCTGAGAAACATTTATGCTGTGTACACCAGAAGTCATGTCAAGAAGCCAATTTAACACTACAGGTGAATTGGTGATTTGAACGTCTCGCAGAAAAATGGGGTGAGAATTCACCATGGCTGATGAGTAACAACAACATCTGCTACAGACGGTAGGAAGAGGGTGCTCCAGTCAGCTCACTTTCTTTATTTGGAAAATGCTTTGGGATCCGTATGCTTTTGGGATCCAAGGTGTTATATGCGAACAAGATCATCTGATATCTTCTGAGTGTTATTCCACATCCGTGTTCTTCACTTCCTCTAGACGTGTATGCTTCACTTCTCTTCGGAGCACTGCTGTTTCCGAGGTCTCATGCTCACCTGTGCAGTTGCCTTTGCCATCTTCCCTTCCAAAGCATAAACATTTTTGGTCTATAATGCTGAAATGACTTGGAATATTGCATCTACTGATTCACTCTTGTAAAAATCATACAAGGTCTCCGCTTCCTGTTTTTAGTGGTAAGCTTAAATAGCACCCTTACCAAAGCCGAATGCTTCTATTGGTGGCTACAGGATCTTGACTATGGTCTGTGGACAATCTGAGCCCAACATGAATGAAGATAGAAGCAAAGATAACGAGAAACAAACAGAAAGCAATACAGACTCACCTGCCATGGTGACAGACCTTCCTACTGTACTTCCAGAAGCTGTATTTCTGACATGCTCTTCATAGTGTGAGGTGTCCCTGCCCATGGCAGGGGGGTTGGAACTAATTGATCTTAAGCTCCTTTCCAATCCTAACTATTCTATGATTCTATATAAAACACATTTTGAAAACCAACTGGCAAGAGGAAGGCTGGCAGCACAAACCCACTGCTGGTAGCTTTGGTAGGCTTCAGAGTCACTGAATGTTATTAAATGTTATTTTTCAGCAGCGACCTAATAAAGAGGCAGCCTTTCAGGTGAAGACCTTCATCCAGAAGCAATGAGGTTTCAACATGGAAGTTGTTAACAGATAATTAACATCTTAGAAGCCCAGGAACCATTTTTTGGACAGTTCGGTTTTACTGACCCCGATTTCAATCCTGGATCTAATAAATCAGGATTTTTTAAGTCTATCTACACACAGGTGCTTTGCATAGCAAAGGGGAGCAGACAAAATCTGGAGTGTTGGGAGCAGCAGCTCTAAACACACAGGGGAACACGGTTTTGACAGCATTCTAAAAGCATCATGTAAGCAAAGCAGTACTTCTGCTCTGTGAATTTTCTTACCGTCTTTGATTTCATCAGGGTCATAAGCCCCCTGCACCGTGCTCTCCCGTAACCAAATTGGCCTTTCTCTGGCTGGTCTTCCTTCACCTGCAGACCGACTGATATCTTCCTGGTCCTCCATGTTGATGACAACATTCTGGGTATACAAGTCCTCATATGATGGTCCTTTTGTAGTCCATGCTTCCCGATGGTGTCCACCTGCAAGACCAGCTGCTGTCCCTGAACCAGGACCAGCTGCACGCTCCTTGCTACATAAAGAGATAAAAACAGAGCATTCAGAACAAGGCCCTCCTCAGCCAGCACTGCAACACTTAAAACTATGCTCAGTTATGTCCCATAGTCTGCACCAAGAATTTGCATTGTCATTTCTAACATCTGGTGCTAGGAATTTCTATACCAGCTTGCTGATTTGGGGAACTTGGGGATCTCAAGTGGGAAAACCTGCATAAAGCCATGGCAACTTCCACCACAGACACTGACGAGACAGCACTAAAGCTGCTGATGCACTCATTTAAAAACAAATATAAAATCCCAGAATGCCCTGAAATAAAAGTCACAGCAGCAGAACACTGTTGAACAGTAATGTGGTATTTGGAAAAGCCTCTTTTTGGCCTTCATACAGAAACAATATACCATATAAAAAAAGCACTAAAGTTTAAAGAAGTCAGAGCCCAGAGAGACAGCATGCTTAGACCTGAGAACCATTATTACCCACAGGACTCATGAAGCAGTTAACCCACCATGAGAAACACAGATCAAACCTTTCTTGAATTGTGAGTGACAATACATATAAGTCACATCTCCCGAATTACAGAGGAGATCTGTACCACCCACAGATGCTGCCTTGGGAGGACCAGGGAGTCCAGGCAGAGAAGAAAGATGAGAGGGCACCCTCAAACCAGAGGACCAGAGGGCTGGCCAAAGGGCTTTTTGTGGTGATGGTGTGTGGGAGGAGGCAAGACAGAGCTATCTTCATTGTGGAAAAGCTGGAGACAGAAAGGCTATCACTGATGTGAAGGGTATGCAGTCAAAGCCTAGGCTGCCTCTGTTTTCTGAGAGGAGCTGCAGCCAGCACATTTTCCTCTAGGGTCCCTTCTAGCTCAGGAGACTGATAGAGGAAAGAAGCATTCCTGCTTGGATCTGATGGAAAGAGGATGTCAGGTGGAGTACTTTCTGCACAGTGATGGCAAGGAGCACAGGCATTCTCTGGCCTGTGCTGTTACCTGTGGATTGATAAGGGAAATCAGCTGAATGGAAACTCGCTCCTCTCTGCAGACTGCACCCACCCTCAACCATATCATTTCAGTCATCTGATTGCCAGTGGTGCCTATTGCTTTTCACAGCTAACAGCTCTGCCTGGGCTCCTCCTCTTGTCCAAAGCAAATCTACCAAGGATACTCAGCATCCCTGCTCTGCTGCCAGCTGAGCAGACAGCTCTCATCAGTGAGCATGGTTCCATCCCTGCTACCACCTCAACAACCTTTCCTCCAACTGAGAAGCTTAAATAAGGTTGCAGCTGGAGAAGACCTGAGTAATATGCAATATTTTAAATGCAGCAAGGACTTCACCACTGCTTGCTGGGCTAATTTTGCTGAATTGGTAGGGGAAAATATGCAGATAGGTGGTGATTTCTCTTCCCCAGAAAACAATACTGGTATGTTCAGCCACGGTTTGGATTGAGGGGTACTCACAGCTTCCCAGTAGTGAGCTTGCTGGGGTTTGTTAGCTAAATACTCCACGGCACCCATGTTAGCATGTGCCCACACAGTAGCCAGTTCTCTCCTGCAGCCATCCCTGCTAGGAGAGCTTCACAGCCGCCTCAAATTTTGGGGCAGCAGTCTCATACACATGTACTGCTTATATAACCTAAGGAGCCACACAGAGACCTTCTTCCCAGGGCATTATTTCAAGTGTTGGTACCTTTCAGCTCTCCAAGACAGGCGCGTGTTCTGTGAAAAGCACCTCTCTGCTTCCCACACAATAGATATCTCTAACTAGCATCTCCCTGACGATTTTATATAATCGACTTTCCTCATAAGGTACACAATGCAACTCTCTCCCAAGCTCTCCCTCCCCACGGCTGCAGTGTGACAGCTAAATACTCAGTAGTGCCAGGAGCTGCCTGATAATACCTTTGCACTGAGGTCCCTGTGAGCATTCCTGAAATGGACTTTTTTTTCCTATGTGGTATCATTTGGCAGCAAAACATGAAGTCGGGAACATTTCAGAAGTGAAAGTAATAACTCTAAGAGACACCTACATTACTAATTACTTGAAGCCATCTACTTCAATGTCCCACACTTAGGTGGGACCATCTTGACATGTTCTGTCTACTTTCAGATCCCAGTGAGCTTTGCACTTCACTTCGGTGTTGCACCTTCAGAGACGCTGTCGGTTGGAGCGTGCAGCGCCTCAAGACTACACAACTGGGGAAGTATTCCTTACTGCAAGAACAGATCTGACTGTTCAGCAACCCTGTTCCAAAGTATAGACTTAAACACTGTGGATTGGGCACCAGAAAAAAGGCCAGCTGCCCTGCAGGCTGCACAGAGCAGATGAGGGGAGTGCACTCTTAAATCTGTCTCTCTCTCAGATCCAAGATCTGCTTTTTTTCATCTAGTTCTAGACTTTATATGGCCATCCTGCAATCAGGAACTGTGGCAGCTCAGTGGCCCAGATGCAGCTCATTTGTTACCCTCTGGTTGTTTTACCCTGATGGAAATCCCTTCATCGGTGTTTAGCTGCCTTTAAAGGCAACATAAATAATCCCTGGCATAGCTGAGGTATGGCCCACAGAAACCACACTGTGCAGTGGGAAAACAACATGAAATTTTCATCTCAATGCTGCCCAGACTATTAAGAAAAGGTCTTGCATAACAGGGATAACTCCTTTTGTGCCTTTTCCCTTTTTCACTTTGCTGCTCTTAAGAGCTTCAACTTCACAACAGAGAACCCATGGCCCTTGGTAGCATGACCACAGCAAATCAATTCTGTGAAGATTTTTGTTATATAAAATCATGCTATTTTGACATAAGAAAATGGAGGGGTTATTAGAATCTTTCTATTTTAGAAAACCACAGCAAAGGGCTTAGGTTAAGCAGGTTTGTTTCAAAGGCTGTGGGGCTAAGTCATGCTCTGTCAAGATTAAGAAAATTAATGGCCTCTTATGAAGATTTAAATGACGATCTGCCCAGTTTCCCACAGCAGGTGAATGACAGTTATGCAATGTCAACATGGTCGCTCAGGGCTGTAACTCTTCTGAAAGCACATGAAGGTGCCTGTCGCAGTGCAAAGAGGAGAGGCAGGCGCTGTGTGACCTTTTCTGTTTGTTTCAGCATCACCGGATGTCAGGTTTGTGAATGATGTCAAGACTCCATAAAAACAGAGAGAATAAATAACCCCCCCAAAATAAAAACCTCACAGCAGTGTTTTCATGCAATTAGCTGCTTTGAATTAGTAAGTGTTGATAAATAATTGAATTATTGTATGTGCTGAAGCAAGTTGTGTTCAAGTAAGCATTTAAAAAGCTGCCTATTTATTTTGTCATGCTCCGCACAGAGTAATTAATCTTTTACAGTGTTTTTTAAGTACTTAAGAGTCAAGTTAGTGGGTGCTGCTATTTAATCATGGGACTGCACCAGGCTTCTGCTGTGCTAATTTCCTGTGCACAGAAGGGGAAGACTGAGAAATCACCTTCTTTTTGGTTATCCCAGTTCTACTACTTAAACTACAGAAAAGGGTTTTTAAAGCAAAGTCTAGTGATTCAGCTTGGGCATAAAGACTTCCAATACCCCCCATATCACCAAAGACATATTGAGTGACCTTGGAAAAACCTCTTCCTCTCTATATTGCTTCTGTTTTTCTATCAGAATGATGAGGAAAATTAGCCACCTTCATGGCTAGAGGAAGACTATGGAGAGATAAAAAGTTTATTTCTATATTAATTAGAAATTGTCTAGCATGAATATCTGAGGAACATTATCTCTCAAGGTTAACCTGAAACAAAAAAAAAGAGCATACTGCTTGCTCTCCCATTAAGTACAGCCAAGCACCTCAAGGCACCTCAAGGAATGCTTCCCTCGTGGTACTTCCCTTCCCCCTCCACGTGTTAATTTAATTTCTTTCTTAAACACAGAGAACTGCATCACATTTCACCACAGCTGACAAAATTGACAGCTCCCCACATCTTGCTGCATTATTTAAACATCATCTGTTTTTGTACAGCTAGGAATGTTCTGAAAGAAAGTGTCATTCCCCATGGGTAGGAACATTTAAAAGAGTTTTTGACTATAACATGGCCTCCTCCCAAAAAATAAGAGGCATATAACAAGAAGGAGAAAGTCAGAAATAAAAACCAGCCTTATTACAAGCAATGTCTTTGAACTAGAATGTTGTTATATGTGCATTCGAAACACGAAGTACAGAATGCAGATAACTTAGTTTCAAAAGCTGGGTAGAAGAGAAAGGAATAGATGAAGGGTAAGGGTTTGAGCGAAAGAAGGGAGTGCAGATGGCACTTTCAGAGCTTTGCCAAATGGTTGCAATTTCCTTTTCTTAAGTACTGGGCAAGGGTTTATATACACACCAACTGCAGCACAGCAAACGGCAGGTCATTTGAGTACTGCACCCCACAAAAAACTACCTGACCAGAGGAACAGTCCTTAGCCCTGTCTAGTAAAAAATGGTTATGGCCCTTTGTCTCCTTATAAATCACACATTCCTTGGGGAAATCTGTCAGTTGCTTGCATAGCTGATGCTGAACAAGTAAGTCCTCAATGTGGGCAGAGGCTGCGCAAGGCTGGGGAAAGCCTCACAGGGCAGACAAATGCACTACAAGGAAACAGCACAACGAGAGAAGACCAGGAGCATTCCTACCTCTGCTTCAGGGCAGGGATCTCTGTGGGTTCTGGCTCCAGGATTTCATAGGCTAAATTAACGTCTTCTGTCTCACGAAGCAGGGCATAAATGGGCTCAATCTGCTCATTGAATCTTGCCACCAGTGTCCTTGCATCCTTTTTAGGCATTGCCGACTCATCTTCTTCCACTTCAGTCTCACAGAAAGTACATCGGAAAGTTCCTAAAACGAAAGAAGTTGCTAAGCACTGGGAAGAAAGCATCAGGTCTGGCTCTATACAGCCTTTAGAACAGCAACACTTTGCTGTTTCCTTGCTAAATAGCTTTTCCCCCTGACAATCTTTCCCCACACACAGTGTACCTGGCTATTATTTAAGCAGGTGACAAAGCAAGCATTTTGATTGCCATCCAGCAATACCCAGCTGGGCTCAGTTTCTCGCTCTGAAAAGCCCAGATGTGCGGCAGTACCTCTACTGAGACACCTCCTAATCTCAATCCCTCTTTCTTGATGCACATTTTAAATGATAGCCATGACTGGGCTGTGATAAAAAGCTATACAATATACTCTTAGGAGTTCAAATATTGTTGTGTTTCAGGTGCTTGCGCTGATACCTCCCAGGCCCCAAGAACAGGCTAATTTCACAATGAAATAGGGTGTAGTTTCAAACTGCACCAAACAGCCTGCAGTAACTGCTAGTATAACCATTTTCACTCTGCGACTAATGAAAAAAGATGGCTTTTCCTTCTGCTTGAGGGCTAAAACATGCAAAATAGTCATTAATGCAGAGCAGCAAGAGCAAAAACTTATCCCACCTCACCCCCATACTAACTTACTGAAATTAAGAATGGCAAGATAAGAACTGCGTGAATGGCAGTCAAGACTGGTTTACAGACCTCATCAGGATCCATAAAAACAGGTCAAACATAAAGGTAACTTAAATGGTTCTACGGCAATGCAGTTACAAGAGCCCCTACTGAACTCCTGCACAGCAGGCTTTTCAGTTTCATCGCTCCATTTGTGAGTAGGACCCTTGAGGCAGGACATGCACAATAGGACCTTACCATATGGCCCACTGTGAGGGGAGCAGCACAGTGTAACTACTTATCCTTGCAAATGCTGGACTGAGAAGGTAACATTGCCTCTTCAGAACACTTACATCCAGAGCAATGCTCACAGGCTTCTTCTTATTTATCCATTCTGTGACACCTATGCACATTTAGCATCATCTCTCAATACCCCAATGAAGTGATTTATACCAATAGGGAGCTTGGCCATATCAGGGAAATGATAAGCTTATGTCTAAAAATCACAGTAAGTCTCAGTATTGAAGCCTGCTATATCACCGATGCCATGTAGAAACACAGTCAAAAGACTGGGTTTCCCAGGGTACACAGGGTATGATGTAATGAGACAGACTGGCAAGCCAGGGCTTCTCGTGTCATGTTTTGCTGCTTACATAGATTTGCTAGTCTTGTCACTTAATTTTTCAGGGTACCTCCTCCTCTGCCTGTAATACAGCAATAAAACCAGACCTAACTTCTTCACTGACGGCCGTGAGGGCTAGACAATGCCTCCTGGAAAACACATACAAGTACCGTTTATAACAAGAGGCAGATCTGTTGCCTCTCACCACAGTCTGTAGAGATGCAGTTTTCTATCTCAGCACCATCTGAAGTAGCTTTTGCTCAGTGTTACTCATAAATTAATGCAAGTGTGTCGTATTTGTGCTCTCCCTGTAATATGTACATGTTTCCTGCAGCAAACTCTCTTTAGGAAGTTTGTTTTAACCACATGTAAAAGCTAGAACACCCAACAGCAGCAGTATGGAAAGTACAGGATAAGGGGATAAAGTGCTCTTCTCTCCCATCCAAGCATGAAACACTCTGCTTGTATTGTCAGGCTGTAAAAATTGCCCCTACTGATTCAAAATCTGTCAGACTGGCTGTCAGACCAGCAAAAACTGAAGCTGAAGCTTGGTCTCCTTAGCCCACCTCTGAAGTTATCAGCATGACACGCTGGCAAACAAGTTGAATCAAATGAAAATAATTAGCACATCCATGTTGCCATAATGGACTAAATGAACAAACACAGGTTAATGAGGAAAACTTCCCTCTTTTTACACCCCCCCTCCCAAAAGTCCTGTTACATGTTCCCAAGGCAGCTCAGACTTTTCACGCTTCCATCTGTGAACCCCATGAGTATTTGCAGAAGACTGAGATCACAGGGAGAATAGTTCCAATTCAGAGTACCACAAAATCAGAAAGTAAATACAGCTCTAATGAAACAGAACTTCTAAAGCTATCTTAGATAGCTGCAACTTCCACCAGGGTTATTCATAAGCAAAAGAAGTTACTAGATGAATTATATAAAGAATCTGGGAATGAGTGAAATGACCAGTTTCCTCCATTAATACGCTGATTTTGTTTTTTGAGGTGATGCAGCATTTCACAAGAGACATATACTATTAGAGAACTGGGAAGTTACTTTGCTGTGACAGATGGCATTTATACATTGCAAGCCTCTTCTGTTAGACTTTAAGAGGTCATTAAATGTCACCAGAGCTTTCATGACATGGCATATCGCATCAGTGGTGACACATGTTCCTTACAGAGATGAACTGCATGTGACAAACATGAAGTGGAGGCCATTCAAAGGCTGAGAATGGCAATGTGCCCATTCCAGTGATGTATTTCTTCCTTCAGCCCTTACACAACTGAGTTTTCCACTCAAATATGCTGCATAAACCAGGAAAAGTAGATATCCTGGAGCAAAAAGACATGATGCTTTGTTGCATCTTGGAAATACCAGTGGAGGGTGCATATATCCCCTCCTCTGCACACATGCTCAGGCACTCAACAGACCTCTTTGGCTGCATGTTAAAAACCACCCATCTGAAAGAGATCTCCTCATCTCCTCCCAGAGTCTCCAGGGGAGACACGCTGGTAATCTGGCTCCCCAAGGCATATTAAGATTAAAGCAGCTCAAGCGCTGAAGTATAGGGCCAGGGTATTGAGAGGTAATTCCTAATGACTTGATTTCACTTGAGAGAAGGAAAAGGTCAACTGCCCATATGCATTGCTTGCATGATGACCAAGCGTGCGTGCTGCATCTGAACTGGCTACAGCCCCCTGAATCAGAGCCCAGGTCCTGCTCACATCCTTCTCAAAGGGTTCAAAAGCCTCACCTCCAGCAACAAGGCGTCATCCTTCCACTCTGTTCTTTGGGATACTGCCCCAGACTCTCACTAATCTCATACTTATAAACTATTTCATTTTCAACCTTAACTCCTATCCATTTCAAACCTATTTACTGTTGTGCCAAAAACTGGACCTTAGCTCAGCTAGCTTCCATCTTGCTGCTAACCCTTCAGGTATATTTACAAGCTGCTATCTTCCTCATCCCACTATCTTCATTTTGCAATGTTCAATAAGCCACACATTTTTCTTTGCCTTTTAAAACCAAACCCCATTCCTCCAGCCATGCTGTCAGCCTCATCAGGCACTTTCTCCAGTAGCACTTTCTCTTCTTTCTGCTGTAAAGCTGGAAGTATACACAAGTGTCCAGACGAGCTCTCCCAAAAGCCCAATGGTATTAAGTGCTTCTCTGATAGCCACTGAGACCTTTTAACATCACAGTGTAACAGGTCATGAAAGTGCTGCCTCAATTATCACAAGATCTAGCAATGCTCCCAGATCTTCCTTCCTCCTTTTAGTCTTCCAGTTGAAAAACTCCATGTTTATGCAAGACATTTGTGTTAGATGCTAGGTGCCTAACACTGTACTTTGTAATATTTCAGATCCTTTTTATTCCTCCAGCCTTCATCCTCATCCCATTCTTCACTGCGGCACAAAGCATTAAGCCAATTTATTCTCCAAATCTCCCACAACCTTCTTTCAGAAGTAGCGTTATCACCATTACACGGAGAGTGAGCTGAGGTACAGATGGCACAATTTCAGAAGTATCTGCTGATTTGAGCAGTACTTGATTTGAGATGCCTACAAAATGCTTCCTAAAACCTATGCTTCAGAAAAGAGCATGCAGTACTTCTACCAATCTTCTTCCAGGCTCTAGAACCGAGCATCTCAAACAAGTTAGGTACAACAGCTAATGATAGCCTTTGAAAAGTTTAGCTCAAAATAACTAGTCCAACACCACACAAACTCAGCCAGCCTGGAGGATCAGATCGTGGTCCTGTGGCTACTACAGCCATTTTCTTCAAGTAATTCCCTGACTCTCACACTGCATGTTTCCCTTCTACAGCAAGCCAGACAAAAAGTGCATCACATGCACACAGCTTCTCTCTCACTGAGTGAAGCACATGTTTTGTGTGGAAAAACAAGTATGTTGCAGCGCAAAAGTTACAGGATACGCAAGCATTCCCTAACCCTGAGTGCTTCATCTGACGTTAAAATGAGAGTATTAAGACCCTGAGGAAAGGACAGGAGTTTCCTCGGTTCCTCCCAACAGGAAGCCAGACAAATGCCTCCCGCCACTGATGCCATGCTGACACCAGACCCGGAGCCCTCAGTTCCGCACAAGCCTCCACCACTTGACCCAACAAAGAGAAGATGGCAACCTGCTAGTGCTGCGTGGGGGGGGGGCAGGATGCCTTGCCAGCTTGCTTTCTGGCAACAAAGGAAGGATGAGAAGGAAACACCTTGGGTCTTCCTCTAGGTTCTGGAAGAGATATGCTTTGTGGGAACCTGTTAGCCCCAAGCCTGAGGTTTTCTGCCCAGCTCTTCCATCCCAGTTCTGGGCTTATCCCCACTCTGATGATCCTGTTCTCCGTGCTAGCAAGTCTTGCCTATCAAGTCCTGCTTTCTCAGAGCCTGGGTTTCTCTCACTTCTCAGACTGCGTTCGTCCTTCTTTTCCTGGGCTGCTTTTGCCATACTCCACCTCTCCCCACTCCTGTGCATCTCTGCCCCACACTCTTTGATCAGCTAATACTGCTTCTCAATTTCAGCCCTGGTCATGACATCAATTTCCTATTTCAAGCCAGAGCAATGGAAGCTCTTTTCACAGAACAACCTGTTGTTCAGAACAACAGAATACAGGCAAAGGAATATACATTTCTCCGGTCTCCTCTTCCACCTTCTCATCAGCCCATTCTTCACTACTGGTTTTTGACTGAATTTTCCTAAGCAATTTAAATGTAGTTGGATGCACAGAATGGGAAAAAAAAAACCTCCAAAACCCCTCAGCATAAGTATTTGACAAAGTT